ACAGCGTTGAAGAGGGCAGAGAGTGACTCACCAACCTCAGCCACCTCAGTTTTCAGTGGATGCAGCCCAGTTTGTTTCCTGTCAAGACTGAAACCATAACACATCTCTGGGGATTTCCATGTCAAAGCCACAAACTATATCCAATAGCAGGGTACCAGTTCATATAACACTGCACAACTGCCATGAACCCAACCAGGACACTGAAGCTAAACCCACCCACAGAAAGCAACACAGCCTACAGAGGAGGTTCTGGAAGGCTCCAGATGAATCACTACTCAGGTTTACCTATGAAAACCAGCCCACAGATCAGCCAGCTGTCTTTCACCAGGCAAAGCAGGTCCCTGTGCATTCCCTCTAGCACCTTCCGGATCTTCCCCAGTCCTCACTCCTGGGACAAAAACACTGACAGGATCACACAGATAAAAATTACTGTGGAGCAGAAGGTGATGTGACTATACCATGCTCAAAAACCAGTTTCACTCAGCAAAAAGCACTCCAGGGTCTCCCATCTTCAACACCCTTGGGTGAAGACTGGAAGAGATCCTCAACCTCATCCTTACTCTGGCAGGCAGCTCTGAGAAAGAGCTCTTTGACAGGAGCTGTGTCTTGGCCAGCCCACAAACCAATTTAGAGTGTGTATAAACCTCCAGAAGACAGTTTAAGAAGAGCCTCTGAATGCAGACAGAAATGGCAATTATTAATTTTCTAAACAGAAATCTGACTACTTAAGCCTTATTTAAAAGTGTGCCTGTCTCTGTAATTACACAGCCTTAATTTGTTTTCTTTACTACACAATAAATAAGGTGTGCACAATTACCCTCTGCAAATACAAGGCAGTGTCTCCTGACTGGCTGACTGAGCACGCAGCCGCCCAGGAAAGCATTTAGAGGGAATCACAGTCTTTTAAGTACCTGCTTCCCGGTAAAGGGGGATTCAGGCACTGCAAACTTGTCTAGCTCTAGGCACAACTTGCTGGGAGCCTTCTCTCCTACATACACATCTCTACTGCCCCATAGCCAGTGCAGGCTGGACACTTTGGCCAGCAGCAAACAGGTCCTGTCCTCTCCTATGCACTGATTCCTGGTGCACTGTGAAGCTGAGCTCTCCTGTGGACTTCCCAGTGCCTGATGAGGGAGGAATGTGATAATGTTCTGTTCTTCCCCACAAGACACTACAACAACCTCTCTCATTATTGTTCCTCTGCCTATTTTAATGATATGCATAGGAACTTGATATCCTTATGACATGTAATCCTCTATGAAGTTCAAATAAATTGGCCAAAGCATTCCAGTATTATTAGGAGAAAGACAGAGTGAGAGCATGCAAGACTTTTTCTTCTAATAAGCTGTGCTAAACACAGTGACATAGTAAATATGTATTCAGATGGTTAATGAGTCTCAAATTTGGGAACTATATCATCCGAAAGTTTTCTTGTGCATCCTCAAGCCAAAGACTGAGGTTTTCTGTCAACACTAAGCATTTCCTACATTCACCTACATCACCTGCTAGCACTAACTTCCACAATTCTTGGCTACAACAGCACTGTTTTCCACAGCCTCACATCCAGTGCATGATGCTCTCCAGGACCATCCCCATATTAGCCAAAGGGGTCTCAAAGCTGCACAGAAATGGGACCAGAAACCCACCAGTGCAACTTTGCCTAGTGAGAAGACCTCCAATGAGAGCACAAAATGACACTGGATGATACCCAGTTTAGATCAGACCCTCATCCATCCCCATTCAACATCCAGCCAGTACTTGTTCTGGAAGGAGTCAACTGCCTCAGCCTAACAGCCAGCAGAAGAGGTAGATCTATGTTGCAAACCCCACTGTTATATTCAGGAGTAATTGCCTCTGTAGCAGTGGCAAGCTTCACAGCGCCGACGATCAGACAAGCGATGGAGCCCTAATTCTCCTCATTCAAGGAAAGGGGAGAGGGAACCAAAGCTATTTGTGGATCCACGCCTCTGGCTCCCAGTCACCCACTGCTCCTCCACTGATTAGGTTGGCCTCAAGCCCCTCACACTTATACAGCTAATTTAAAACTTTAAAGGACAGACATGCCCCTGCCAGACTGCACTTTGGAGCACTTTGCGGTCTACCACTCAGGCAGCTGAATGCTGAAAATCTGCTTCATGGGTTTCTTGCTTTTCCTCCCTGACTCTGAGATGGGGAAGGGGGGGAAAAAAATCCAAGCCAAACCTCATCTAGAACCATTATCTTAAACAAACCCCCACAAACCTGAGCTCCTGCAATTAGAGCTGGGATAAGTGATCTGCTTGTGATTGCACAGCTGGGGTCTGAAGACAACTGCGTGTACAGAGGAAGGGCCAGAAATAGAAGTTGCTGGGAGAAGGCAGAGCTATCTGGCCCATCTGATAGGAG